CTCACCAGCATGCTGCAAAGCCCCGCACCCTCACTGGGTTCACACCATTCTCTCTAGCCCATCAAGCCCTAGCCCAGACTAGCTGGACTACAGGCACCCCACAGCCCACCATAATACCAGCTAAATTTTTTCTGTATTCTTTTAGTGAGCAGAAACGCAACAAAGGAGTATTCCACCAGTGTTAGCCAAGATGGATCTCGATCCTGCTGACCCATCAAAGTGATCCGCAGGTCGCCCGCGCTCGGCCTCCCACAAGATGGCTGGGGAATTACAGAGGCCGTTGAGCCATCACCTCCGACGACCGCACGCGCGCGCGCACGTCCCGGCCGATTATATCCCTTCAAGAAAAAATCACGCAGATTGCTAGTCTTCTTTACTTGCGGGATCATTGCCTACAGACTCGAAACTCGCAGTTTACCAGCGGAAATAATACAGAGAAATCTCACATACCCCTTACTCACTGTCCCCTAATGGTAACATCCTACCAAACTAATGCAGTATCACAAGCAGAAAATTGTCACAGATACAGTTGAGACACAGAGTATCTCCATCTCCAAGGATCCCTCCCGCTGCCTTTTCCCAGCCATGCCCATTTCCCTCCTGCTCCCACGGCCCATCCCCAACCCCTGACAGCCATTCATCTCTGCACTAATTCTATAATTTTGTCATTTTAAGAAAGGGATATAAATGGACTCCTAGAATAGTGAGCCTTTGGGGACTGGCTGTTTCACTCTGCATGAGTCTCTGGAGGCTCATCCACGTTGTGGCGTGTGTCTCTGGTTGATTCCTTTTTATTGCCGAGTAGTATTCCACAGTGTGGCTGTGCCCTGCCACATTTTGTTTAATTATTCATTGAGCGAAGGGTCTCTAGAGTATTTCCTGGTTTGGGCTGTTATGAATAAAGAGCTGTTACAAACATTTGTGTGTGAACGTAAATCTTAATCTCTCTGGAATAAATGCAAAGGAGAACTCTTGCTGGTAGTTGTTTGAATGGGCATTTTAAGGGGTTTTTTAGGGGATGGAGGGGCAAGGCACTGGTGGGAAGTGCAGACCTGGGTGCTGGCTCACCAGGGTTCACATCCCAGCTTTGAACCGGGACCCTGAGTGAGTTGCTGTATATGGCTGTAAAATGGGGATAATTCAACCTGGCTTGTGGCTAATGTGTGTAAAGTGCCTGGTAGCTAGTAGGTGCTCAATAGATAGAAGTGATTCTTGATATAGGTTAAGAGAAAACCCACTAGACCATGGCAGGGTCTGTGCCCCAGAGGTGGCCTGTGGGAGGGCTTTGCGAGGCTTCCACCTTGCCCCCTGTGGGATCACCCAGTTATTGTCTTTTTCCTGGCTGTGCCCCCGGCTTCTCTTTGAGAAGACCCTGACCGTGTTTGCAGACTGGGCTCGAAGTCTCCGGCCTGGTCCTGGCATTCCCCAGTGAAGTTGGCCGGGCCAGGCCCACGGGTCATAGGAATCCCAGGAAATTCTAGATCGTGCTGGGCTCTGCTGGTCTGGATTCGCCTCACAAATTCTGAGAACCTGCCCAGATCATTTCAGATGTTGCTACAATTTAGCTCGATTCCGGAAGTGTGTTTTGAGCTGTTAGGGTATTTGAGGGATTGTGGTAGGTGTTGCAAAGGGTTCAGAAAAAATTGCTCTCCTAACAGATCAAAGCAGCCAACTCCAGCTTCTAATTTCCTTCGGGAGCCCCCACAGCCGCAATGATAAGGTCTCCCCTGAGTGTGACATTCGGAGCCCTGGGTCTGGTTTGAGTCTCTCTCTAGCTGCCATCCTGCTGCTATGCCCTCTGTGTGCCCTGTGTGCCAGCCACCAGCGTTCTCACCATTCCCATACTCTGAGGCTGGCCCGGCGGCCACGCCTTGCTTACACCCTTCCCTCTGCCTGGGTGCCCTGCCCTTCCTGATGAAATCTTGCCTGTTTCTTAAGAACTAAAAGTACCATGGGCGGACGTGGGATGGAATATTCAAACCTCACATAGGGTTGGACATGGTTCCTCTCCAGAACCATCATTCCCTTCTCCAGGCAACCACTGTGTGGGACCATGCTGGACTCCTTGTTTGTTTGTTTTTGAGGCGGAGACTCACTCTGTCGCTCAGGCTAGTGGACTCGGCTCTTCTTGCCTTTGTCACTTTATAGCATTTCTTGGAGATTGTTTCATATCTGTACAGTTTGAACTGGCTTATTATAGTATTTTTGAAGGCCACATGGCATTCCCTTATGTAACAACACCGTAATTTATTTAACCAGCTCGCCTTGTTTGCAGGCATCGAGGTTGTCCACACTCTTGGGCTCTTACAGTGCAAAGGAGTCTCTTTAAAGCCTACCTCTGACGTCACGTCCCCCTTTCTGCCTGCCTCTGAAATGTGTTGGCTGGGTCACTGCACTCTCTGTGAGACGCCCCAGGGCAGGGATTGTGCTACACCTGCCTTCTCCTTTCCATGCCTGTCACATGTGCTGACCACCCAGTTGCCCACGCGCTTTTGGTGCTTCTGCTGCCTCTCCGAGCCCTGGCCCCTTGTCGGGACTCTGCTGGGGATGGAGCTGGAGAGAGCTGGGCCGCCCCATCTTTGCCTCGTTCTGGCTTCCTGCTTTGTGCAGAGCTGTGTCTGGATGGGCTGATGTGTTCCCATGGTGACAGACTTCCACAGTTTCATTCTTACCGGCCTCCTCCTACTTCACCAGAGGGATGGGCCATCATATAGCCAGGCCCTTATTGACAGAATGTAGCTCGTTTCTCTTTAAACACGTTTGAGAGGATGGCCGCTTGGGCGTCCATTGCCGAGAAGAGGATCTGGATTCCCAGCCTCCCCCATGAAACTGCTAGCAGTAGCTGCTGTTGATTGAGCACTCACCTGGATGAGCGAGGCAGCGTGCAAAGGACTTGGGCTCTGTTTGCATCAGATACAGTAACCTTGTGAGGCAAGCACTGTTTTCCCTGTTGTACAGAGAGAGAAACTGAGGCTCTAAGAGTAACTTGGCAAAGGCCACTCAAACAATGTATTTCAAGAGCTGGGATTCCAACTCAGTTGTGCTTGACTCAGGATCTGAGCCTCTGTAGCTACTGAACTCACCTGGCTTCCTAGAGAGGATGGAAATGGGGGAGGAGGGAACGGGCAGCTCACCTCCCAGGCCTTGTGCCTAAGGCTGGCTGCCTGAGAGCTGAATTGGGGCTCACACACAGAAAGATGATGGCTGCCATTAGGCCTCCTCCACTGAGGAGACACAAAAGGCTGCTTTGAAAGGCAAATCCAGGAGCACCTCTCTGGCCTGTTCCTGAACCCAGCTGCCTGGCCAGAACTTGCAGGAGTGGTCTGAAACTCTTTCCTTGAACAGACCACAGTTGGTCAGAACGTGTCACTTCTAGATTGATGTGGTGTTGAACCTGTGCACCAGATCTCTCAATGAGACCTGGGAATCTTCAGCCTCCCCTGGGCTCTCTTCCTGAACAGTCAAGCTTTGGAACATGTATTGATTTCCCTCCTCCCCTTCTCTGCTTTTGCACTTTGGATGAACCTTGTTTTCGAAGAACAGTAGAAGGTAATTTTCCTGTGCTTGCCAGCTGGCCTGTAATTGAGCAATTTCAATAACACCCACTGTAAAGTCTAATTGAAGTAAACAGGAAAATATGATTTACAATCTGGACAGCAAGTAAATACCAGGGTGCAATTAATTTTTACACAGAGCAGCAGATTCTAAAACGTTTTCCTGTGTTGAGCAGTTTGTTTCTGATTACAGATTAGGAGCTGCTTTTCTATTTAATACTATTATCATCATTCTTTTTTACTTTTTGGTGGTGATCCTCAGGTTCCTTGTGTCTGTGTGACTTTCTTGGAAGGTTTAGCTGCATGGGGAAATAGAGACGTGAGTTTGTAAGGAGGGATTTTTCAAACCTGAACTGAAGGCTGCACTCTTTCTTCATTTGCTTGGTGGGAAATGGTGGTGGGTTAATCGGAGAGGGGCTGCGGATAGGCTGTGCAGAATGGCAATGCTGAGTGGGTCCCATCACTACTGGAAGCTCACTTAGTTTAGTTCTTTCTGGGGAAGATGACAAAGCTGTGAAGGCCCCCAGTGTTGCAAAGATGTTGATGTTGAAATGTGGCACTTCCAAGGACCAGAAATGTATGCCTTTTTTTTGGTGGGGGGACGGAGTTTCACTCTTGTTGCCCAACCTGGAGCGCAGTGGTGCGATCTTGGCTCACTGCAACCTCTGCCTCCCAGGTTCAAGCGATTCTCCTGCCTCAGCCTCCCAAGTAGCTGCAATTACAGTGCATGCCACCACACCCAGCTAATTTTTTGTATTTTTAGTAGAGATGGGGTTTCACCATGTTGACCAGGCTGGTCTCGACCTCCTGACCTCTGATAATCCACCTGCCTCAACCTCCCAAAGTGCTGGGATTACAGGCATGAGTCACCATGCCTGGCCAAATATATGCCTTTTTAAATGGACCCTCCTTATTGTTCCAGTAGCTTCTGTTCATAACTGGGTGGAGAAGGGAGCCAGCATGCTGACTGCTGGTCCCCTGCTGCCAGTTGGCTGCCTGAGGGCCGACCCGTTTGGTGTTGGATGTGGGGATGAGGCATGTTCTGACCCTTGGCCTACTTTAATGCATCCTGGTGTGTGCTAAAGCTGCCTGTAAAGCCAGCTCAGTGGTAAGATGTCACGTGACTTGAGTATGCTGCAGGGACAGCAGATTGTTAGCCACCCAGACCCTGAGATAGATCTTAAAGGTATCACGTGGCTGGACCCCAATCTGTTGTTCTACCCACCAGGCCATTTTACAAGTGAGGCAGCCCAAGGCTGGCATGGCAGGGGTGTGGGGAGCTCTGAGAAGGTAACTCTGGGCCTTGGTGACTCTCCCTGAGTGCATCTCCTTTAGCAGAGAGGTGGTTCCAATCCCCTGGGGTTTCCAGTACTGTGGGAGGGGCGACTCTCAGGGCCTCGGTCTTTCTTAGTCCTGAATCCTTTTGCTTTTCTTTTGTCTTTCCAGGGAGTTGACCACACTTGGCCATTTCCCAGAACGGCCCCACCCCAAGGGTGAGCGGCCAATGAGGAGCTGTTTCTGCTGACATCAATTCCCCAGGAGGTACCCAGCCCAAGTCTGCCCAAGTCTGCCCAAGTGAAGATGGCTGATACCCACCCTGGGATGGAGCCCAGCGCCTGAGGCCCTTATCATGGTGATGGTCCTAAGTGAAAGCCTCAGCACCCGGGGAGCTGACTCCATCGCATGCGGGACCTTCAGCCCTGAACTGGTGAGGACCTGGCAGGCTTCCTGCTTTCCCTGAGCATTTCTGAGGCCTGATGGACAGATAGGGCTGTGGACTGAGCACCCAGGCTTAGCAAATTGAGTCCAGAGCCCCCAAGAGCAAAGCTCTGTGAGGCGTCCTGGGCTGGGGCGACAGGGCACAGGAGCAGAGCTTGACTGACAACTCGCTGGAAAGAAGGAAGTCAGCTCAGATTTGAGGTCATCTGGTGAATGAGGGGAGGAGGCTATCCCCCGGTAAATAACAGCAAGTGTGGTTCTGCAGCCTGCCAGGCCAGGACTGACATTCCTTCTGTCTCCACCCGTTAAGGGGAGGTGGTTTCCAGAGAGGGGTGGTGCCCTGAATGGGGGCTAAGATAAGCCTATCCCTCTGAAGGGTGGTGCTGCCTCAGGAATGTTAAGAGTGGGAGACGATGGGGAAAGACGGTGTGGTGAGCTATGGCAACAGCTACCCTCTGCCAAAGGGGGTTCACCCTGGACCACCCTGGACCATGTGGTGGACTAGTGCAGGGAGGTAGCTAACTCGGCCTTCTTAGACTGCAAGCAAACCAACCTTCAATAGCTGAACCCTGTCAGCAGACCTGTCCTTCGAAGCCCAGTTCTCAGATGTGAGTGGGGGCTGCTCGCCTGTGGAGGGAGCGGGAAGCCACGCTCAGTCATAAGCAGTCTTGTGGAGATGGGCGAGTCTTCGGAACTCTCTGCAGCTTCCGTGGTCAGGAAGGCCCAACTGCCCAGGGTCGCCTCACCCAGGACCCCTCCTGGCGCCCTTCACAGCCCCTCGCGAGGACCCACGCTAAGCCTCCTTGGTGGGCCGCCTTCCCCTATCTCATGCCAGTGAAACCAGACCTTGAGCAGATGAGACCTAGGTCTCTGCCTGTGTCAGGAGCTTGGGAAAGCCACCGAGATCTGTATTTTTTTCGCAGGCCTCACAGAGCGCCTTCCGTGTGTTGGGCACTAGGCTGGAGGATTTTGGGGAACAGGATGAGCCAGAGCCAGGCCCTGTACTTCTCACCCTTGAGAAGCTCTGGGTCTAGAGAGAGGGTGTCTGGAGAGCTGTGAATACAGTGACAACTTGAGGATCCCATGAACAAGAACTCGCAGCCGAAGCCCACGGGAAGCCCAGGGCGTGTAGAGGAGCAGGGCCAGCCTGGCTGTAGCACACCAGGGAAAGCCTTGCAGAGCAGGGATACTTGATTTAGCCTTGAAGGGTGAGAAGAAGTGGCTTAGAAACCACTGGGTCTAGCCTCCTCGTTTTACAAATGAGGCAGCTGCAGCCTGGAGCAGGCAGTAACTGCCTCACTAGCTGCACCTCCCCTTTCCCTCCAACCCCTCCAACCCCACTTCCTGAGCCTGCGTTCAGGCCTCTGCCCACTGCCTGGTGTCTGGACGCCAGTCTTGGCGGCCCTCCCTCAGTCAGGTCTCTCCAGCCCTTACCAGGCATGACACTGGTGCTACTCTGCTCGTGGGCCTCAGCCTGTGAGGTCTCCATGGGGTGTCACCCCCAGCTGCAAGGGTAGGGACTCAGCTTTGCTTCTCCCCATGTCCCCAGCACTACTGGGGCAGGGCAGACAGCAGGCACCTGAGGTGTGTTTGCTCAATGGCAGCCTTGGTCACTGCAGCAAGGAGTAGAGCTGCTGTGACCATTCAGCTCTTCTGCCACTACCCCGTTCTTTCCAGCTCACATTTGCTATGTAATGTGATTACTTCTTACCAGCCCCACTGCCACCACTCTGGTTCCACTTGCTCTTCTCTCACATGGATTCTTGTGGTAACTGGTCCCCTGCCTCTGGCTCTTTTTAACCTGTTCTCCGCCCAGCCGCCAGAGAGAATCCTAGTCAGAGCTGTCCTCCACTGTGTAGAAGCTTCCACTGGCTTTACACTGAATGCTTAGCAAACACCCAGCCCTTACTAGGATGTATGTGGCCCCATGTATTCTTGTCCATGTGACTGCTCTGACCTCATCTCTGCCACTCTGCCCCCTCTGCTCGGTCCCCACTGGCCTCCCTGTTCCAACACGCTAAGTGTGAGCCTGCCTCAGGCCTTTGCACTTTTTCCTTGGCCTGGAGCTCTCTCCCCACAGTAGGACATGCTCCCTCTCTCCTTCCTTCTCTGGCCACTCAACCTACAGTTCAGTCCCAGCACCAGCTCCCACCCCTTACCCCCACCACACTTTCTCTCCTCTTTTCCTATCTTTTTCCCTCTTAGGTACTTGGCACTTTTAAACATGTCCTTATGGATCTTGACCGAGTCCTTATACTAGAATGGGAGCTTTGTGAAGCGAGGGGATGTCTCTCTTGCTTGTTGCTGAATGCACGGGGCCCAGCGCCTAGCAGGTGCTCAGTGGATGTTTGTGGATGGATGAGCTTGCAGGTTCCTGTCGCCTGGCCTCTTCTCATTCACCATTGTCTTACTCGCTCTCTGGCTGCTGCTCCAGTTCACGACTGAGTGGGTGTGACTAGAGTAGCTCTGACCAAAAAGAAGAGACCTCAAGGGTGAGGAGCCATCTGGAGGTCCTGAGGGAGGAGCCCTTCCCGGGTCCAGCTGTGCTGTTGGCTGCAGTGGCCGCCTCTGTGCTTGGTCCCTTCTCAGGGTGGGACTGCCTGGTGTTGGCTTCAGAGTTGTTTCCAGGACATGTGGGCCCAACGTCAGCTGAGCTGCTCTTCCAAGAGGTGTGGCCTGAGCCCCTGCCAGGAGGAGCATGGCCTCCCAGCCCTAGCCAGGGAAGGAAAACTCAGAAAGGGAAAGCAGGCAGGGAGAGCAGGCAGCTTTGCTGGAAGGGATTCTACCACGTGTTCTCTTGTGGCCTCACAGATTAGAATCTGTGCTTTCTTCCTGAACTCTCCCTTGCTTTGTTGGAAAGGATCCTTCTTTCTGCTGCTTTTTGTTACTGACCTGTCCAGGCCCAGAACCACCCAGTGTTGGGCCCATCTGTCTTCCTCCTCCTCTTCTTTCCCCTTGGCTCCAGATGAGAGCTCTGTTGTGGGGAACAGCCCTGTTGGAGAAGGGCTTTCTCATTGCTCAGTTTGCTGATGCGCCCAGAACACAGTGACTGGGTGCCAGTGCTTGGCCCGGCCCAGCTCAGTGCTGCCTGCCCTATAGCGTGGGCCAGCAGGAAGATGTTGGGGGTGCGGCTATGCTGAGGGTCTTGGGAAGTGTGTTAGTTCATATCATGTTGCTGTAAGGAATACCTGAGGTTGGGTAATTTATAAAGAAAAGAGGTTTACTTGGCTCATGGTTCTGCAGGCTGTATAAGAAGTATGGCACCGGCCAGGCGCGGTGGCTCAAGCCTGTAATCCCAGCACTTTGGGAGGCTGAGGCAGGCGTATCATGAGGTCAGGAGATTGAGACCGTCCTGGCTAACACGGTGAAACCCCATCTCTACTGAAAATACAAAAAATTAGCCGAGTGTGGTGGCGGGTGCCTGAGTAGTAGTCCCACCTACTCAGGAGCCTGAGGCAGGAGAATGGTGTGAACCCGGAAGGTGGAGCTTGCAGTGAGCCGAGATTGCGCCACTGCACTCCAGCCTGGGTGAAAGAGCGAGACTCAGTCTCAAAAAAGAAAAAAAAGAAGCATGGAAAAGTATTGCATCTGCATCTGTTTCTAGTGAGGCCTAGGGAAGCTTCCAGTCTTGGCAGAAGGTGAGGGGAGAATAGGTGTATCACGAGGTGAGAGAGGGAGTGAGAGGGAAGGGAGGAGGTGCCAGACCTGTTAAACTACCAGCCCTCACATGAACTAGAAGAGCGAGGACTCCCTGATTACCATGGGGAGGCCACCAAGCCATTCATGAGGGATCCACTCCCATGACCCAAACACCCCCGCCCAGGCCCTGCCTCCAGCATTGGGGGTTACATTTCAGCATGAGATTTGGAGGGGACAGACACCCAAACTGTATGCCCAGAGGTCCATGTACCTCCTCCCTGTCCTTGAGCCTCACGCTACCTGCTGAGGGGCAGGGGTGCACCCATTTCTACCCCATTTACAGACAGGAAGCTGTGGCTCAGAGAGCCCAGGGAGGGGCTGCCCCAGGCACAGATTTCAAGCCCAGGCCCTTGTCTGCTTCCCCCAGCACCTTCTCGCATGGGCCCTATTCCAGAGGCTGTGATCACCTTGGAGCCCCTCCAGGCTTTGGGGAGAGACACACGATGTAAATAACTGAAGAAATACCGAAAATAATCTTAGTCTAGTGATGACATCCACAGGACAGAATGTGAGATACGCTGATGCTAGCATTTGCTCTGAACAGCCAGCAGAGGTTCAGAGGAAGTTGACGGGGTTTTGCTTTAGCTTCCTAAACTGGTAACATCATCCCCGTGTAAATACCATCAAGATAACAACAGGAACGATGGAAAATAAATTTTCTTTTGTTTTCTAATCAGACTAAGAAGATGACAAGTAGAGGTTTAAGATTTAAAAGGAAAGCATGACTGTGGGGGAGGCCGGGACTGGTATCAGCACAGGCCACTTTGGAATTATGGGAGCAGACCCCAGAGGCACAGCTTACCCTGGGTCCCCAGAGTCAGGCCTCAGTCACAGAGGCGGGAAAGTCTCAACGTGCAAGGGAAAGTCACCAGGGTCCTCGCAACCCTGGGTGTCATGTGGCACTGGAGGAGGAGCTCGTGGCCAACTCTGAGGCCTGTTGAGGGGTGTGAGGACTTGGTCTCCCTCCCAGCCTTCTTTGGGGTTCATGCCATGGTTCTCTGGTTCCCCTGTTTTAAAAAACTAAATGCTGGTGAAACAACTGCCTTTCCCTCAAAGAAAGGTGTAAGGAAAAAAGGAAAAAAAAGGACTGACCAGTGCTCAGCATTTTGCCTTTCCCAGCACAGGGCCCACCTGCCTGGGGAGAGATGGCCCTGAGGCTCAGCTGTGCCCATGGCCCTGACTTCGCTTGCACGGCCAGCAGCCATGGCTGGGTCCAGTTCCCCTTTCCCCAACTCTGCCTGGTGCCTTCCTCTGTCGAGTGGGCTCTTCCTTCCAGTGTTCTAACATTAG